CATGTATTTCAAGCTTTTAACAAATCATATCCAAGATCAGTATGTTAGAATTCAGACTTAAGTATTCCTTATGTGCAAACTCAATTGATTGCAATATAGTAAGGCACCAGAAAGCAGCCAGGTTTTTCCCGAGAGGATTTTTCTGAATTAATTCTTTAACAGCCATCCTACACCTTCTTGCTAGACCCATCTACTTGCTGGACCACTTGACTCTCTGTGAGGGTTTTTCTTTGTCATTCCTGCCTATCTCAGGTTGTCTTACTCCTGGATAGGAAGAACATTAGCTCTGACAGTCACTTTCTCAGGCAGTAAGACTAAGTTTTGATGTTTTATTCTTAAAAGGTTGTATCATTTAGGTGCTAGCTATGCAAAACATGGCATCTCATAATTTATTTCCCTCTGCAAAAGGACATTTAATGGTCTCGCAAGTCAGCACCATTATTGTTTAGACAGAGTAGCACTGACTTTGTGAATACTTGAACTCCATAGAAGCAGGTCCCCAGGTGGTTTAAATCACAAGTATCTCACTAAAGTCATCACAGTGAGTGCTGCCAAGTAAAACCAAGGCCAAACCTGCACCTGACTTATACAACACATCTGGGCCTAAAGTCGATGTTTATAGCACCCAAATGATTAGGCCATCAGAGAGACACTTGTTTTTTGAATGCTGATTGATCTTTGGTACCAACCTACTCAGGCTGGATCTACATGAGGAACTTTATGATCCCACAATAAGCCAGCTATGGGATTTAGACCAGTTCAGAGTTAGGCAAGTCCTGAGGGGGGAAATTCTGTGTCACAGTTCTGAAAGCTTGACTTTATCTGGCTAGTGCTGCTGGCCTCCAGCTCTGTGCTGGTTCTCCTTGCCAGCTCCTGGGACTCCTATGGAGATGGGAACATTTCTGCTTCACCCCTCTACATGCTCAGGGCCTAAACTTTGCTTGTGTCCTAGTTACATGCTATTCTGAGAGTGGCAGAAGTGATGATAGCTTGTGAACTTAGCAAAAGAATGAATTCTCTCCATCAAGAGTGAAAACATCAAAAACTGGACCCTTCTCGTTGAATAAATCATATGAACAATCCATTTGCATATGTTTTGCATTCTTGGGTATAAATTATTAAATATTTTAAAGGTTCAGAAACCTGGGAGGATTTATAACATGAATCCCTCTGAACTGTGATCTAAGAGTTACTTATCCCTTAAGAATAATGATTTATTTGGTCTAAGCAGTTTTTGCATTATTATTTTTTAATCTACTGGGGTTTTCAATGCAGTTACTTTCAAAGGAAATAAAACCAGATGGTAATTGTAGATTAGGGAAAAAGAATGAGCTCCCAATTAATTATTAAAATTAAGTGTTAATTTTAGAAACTTGCAGCAAATTGTTCATTAAAGAAAATTTAAAGATACAGGAACATCCTGTATTATTTCTTTTTTCTCAAATACCCTATTCACAAGTTGTAAAGAACATTCTAAATATTAGAGAAATCATGCTGAAAAAGTAAGTGATGCTAGATATATACTGAATTACACCAAAGATTTGTTTGTCTCCTTATATATGCACACCATTCACAATAATTCATACCATCACCTGTAAGATGCTGAATATCAATATGCTTTTGTGTAATGTAGAGAGATATATATATGTTTCAGTCTTAAAGCAGAGTGACAACAGTTTTCTACTTCTTTACTGTGATGAATTAAAATATTTCAATAGTTTTGCACTTTGTGTCAAAGAGAAAAAAGTATCAGAGGTGAAAAAAATGCAAACTAGCTCCTAGTTTCATGGCTGTTCTTGGGAGTCACAATTACAGCAATGTCACTGAGTGAAGACATAATGTTTTGCTGCAAAGACAGTAGATTCAGTAGAAACTATTTATCACACCTACACCATGGAGCAACCAACCACTCTGCTCTCTCATGGATCCTTTCTACTAGTGGTGAAAATATTCTCTATCCAAGTTTGTTATTTCACTGCTCTTCATTAAAACAGAAAATCAAGATGTGTGATGACAGGGAGGGCCAGGTTAGAATAAATTTAATATCAAAGTTCTACTTCACTGTCCGAAAAGGCTGCATAAAATATCCTCCCCCTTCCAAACTGATCTGTTCTCTCCACTTGTTCAGTCAGTTCTAACGTCTTCGGTGACAAACCATGATTACAGGCACATTTTTCTCCCCTTAGCTATGCATATTCAACACTGCAGATGAGAAAAGGATGCAGCTCCAACCTGTGCACATCAGCAAGGGTGTTCCTAATGTCCCTGACATACCTTTATGAAACTGAAGGCTTTATACCTTCAGCCCTGCTGTTTCTGAAATCATAACTTCAGATGAAGTGTAATGACTAGGGCAAAGAAAAGAATGAGAAGACCTGAAGCATGACCTCAGCGTACAGAGAAGACTTTGCAGAAAGAAAGTGATGAAGTGGTGATAAGAAAGAAACCTGACAATATTTTCAGTGGGATCAATATAAGGCCCTGCTGTAATAGACTTGCTTCTACCATAGCATTGTGCTACATGTCAATCATCCAGTGTATCAGAAGGCACTGGTCACCTAAAAGCAACACAAAAGGAAAAAAAAACAACCCCAACTTCAATTAACAAACCAAATAAAAATATTAAATCCCTAAATGTTAAGCATACATCAAATTTGGCAACTAATTTGACTGCCTAAGGAAGCTGGTTTATAGACTCATGTTCATTCCACTTAATATTATTAACAATTCCCAGGGAAGTTCTGCATAGTTACAGTAGCTAGTACATTAATCTTTATCATATGTGCAAAAGCGGAAGCTTGCAACAGGATTATGAAAAAGGAGTGCTTATTGTTTTATTTCCAAACTGATCTCTATGCAAAAAATAATGACCTAATCAGACTACTTACTAACTGACTACCAACTTGCCTGGGGCTAGAAATGTTCTCCCATCAAGTGCTGGGACAAAAGCTCTTGTGAGAATGTTGAGCTCTGCCTTTGAGTTGTTGCTTCATCTCTTCCAGTCAATGTGATTGAGTCACAGGATGCAAACACCTTGTATGCCAGTTTAAGACCTGGTGTGGGTTAAATTAGTGGTTGTATATGGTAATCATTCTAAAAGCACAAAGCATCTTCCCCACAGATTCCTTTTGCCTTTGTTTATGAATATTGTGGGGTTTCCTTTAAAAAGCAAGTGACTCTGGATGTACGCTCTTTCAAATAGGACAAAACCACTGGCTCTTCCCCTTTCGAGGGAAAGAAAAGCTGAAAGGGCTCCTGCTGTGTCTACTTTGTATATAGGAATATACGAACAGTCAGTACTGGTTCAGATCAAAGGTCCATCTAGCCCAGTGCCAGTCTCCAGTGGTGATTAGCAGTGGACAGCTAAGGCAAAGAATAAGAGCAGGGCAAGGATACAGTAATTCTTTCCCACATATTACGCCAGCCTTCAGCAATTTGTGGAACAGGGACTTCCTGAGCCAGAGGTCATGACTTCACATTTAAAAGCCCTTAATGTATTTTTCTTTCATGAATATGTCCAACAAATCTCTGAAGCCTGAGTTCCTGTGGAAATGAGTTCTACAGCTTCACTGAATATTTTGTGAAGTATGCCCTTTGGCCCCTTGTGAGTTTCTTTTCCCCAGTTCCTTGAACTGGAAATGATATTGAGATACTGTTCCAATTTATCTTCCTCATGCTGCTCATTATTATGAAATATTGTAAATTATGAAAAAAACACACCACTATTTTATCCACATTTATTCATCTCTTTTTTTTCCATGCTGAAGAATCCTACTGTTCAGCCATTTCTTAGTAGAAGTTGCTTCCTGTATTTATTATTTATCACCCGCTTCTTTGCTATGCAAGACCTTTCAGTAACTGGCACAAGAGGGCTGTCCAAAGCAAAGAGACCAAGACAGTCAGCTGACATTAATCCACCACTTCCCAGGAATTATACTCCACAATGTGGAGTGAATTGGGGTAGCAGAAGAAGAAATACACTTTGCTGGTGCATTTGTTTGCTGCGTTGCTAAGAGCAATTGCTTGTGAATTTGGTTGCCAAAGCCATTAAGTCACCCAATATCTTCCAAGTACAGCTTAGAAGAGATCTTATGAGGCTCATACAGAAAGTGATTTTGGGACCCAACTTAATGAGACACCTACCCCTCTCCTGTCCTTCGTACCATGCTAGCTAAAACTTAAGAGATCCCTGTCATGAAAGAGAAGTGATAGTTTGTGAAGTAGGCAGATGGACCATGGAGATCCTTGTCAAAGGATGTTACGGAAGGATGTTCTAGAAATTTGTAAGTGTCCTAAGAGACCCTGTGAAAGTTCAAGGAGGAAGGACTCATCCTAAAAACACAGGCACCACGTTGCTGGGGAAATCCCTGAACTTAAAATGCTTGGGAGAGGGGTTGAGAGAGTGCAGGGGTGAAGCTTGTCCTGGTTTTATATTCTTCAGCAGTCATTTGCTGTGGCTGCTGCTGGTGACAGCGCTCTGAGATAGATGTACCTGTAGTCAAACCCAGCCAAACTTCTCTTACAAAAGCTGGCTGCCATTTTCGTTAAAGCAGCCCATCTATAACAACACACGGTACATTAGGATTACCCTTTCTGTGGCTGCTGTAAATGCCGCAGGAGGTTCTGCTCCCCCCGAGTTTCGCTGGGAGAGGGGTGATGTGAGAAAACGGGCGGCGGCGACCATGCCACGAGGTGAAAGCCGTCGCTGCTAAGCAAGCAGTGGCCGGCTGTGCTGCTGCTGCGGCTCTCCGGGCTGTCAGCAGCCCGCAGCTCCTTTGTCACCGTCCCTCGGCGGTGGCGGTGCGCGGAGCCCGCGGCCGGGGAGCTCCGGGAGGCAGTCGGGCGGGCGTCAGGAGGGCTTAGGACCCAGGGGGACGGCAGCCGCCGAGTGGAAGGACCCAGGCTTTGGTGCACACGCCTCCTACCAAAAAAAAAAAAAAAAAAAAAAAATCATACCCGTGGAGCTGGCGCTCTCTCATTCACAGTTTTCTAGAGAGATCTGAGCCTGAACCTGAGAGCCGGGAGAGCTTTCTCACCCACCCAGCTCGACAGCAAGGACACCTACAGGGGGACAAAAATCCGACCGTCCCCCGCAGCCCCCGCGGCCCCACGGCAGGCTGCCTGGCGCTGTGCAGGTATTTGCATTCGTCTTTTCTCGGTTTGCAGCAGGAAAGCTCTCCGCGATCTCCGACCCTCCCCCCCCCCCCCCCCACCTCCGCACCCCCGGGCCCGGCTGCGGCGTTTCAGTACCGCCGGGCGGACAGCTCCGGCCGCAGCCCCGCTGCGCTGCGGACAGGGGCCGCTCCCTGCCCTGCTCACTGTCCCGCTCCCTGCCTGCTCCCTGCCTGCCCTGCTCCTTGTCTGCTCCCTGCCTCCCTCCCTGCTTACTCCCTGCTCAGCTCCCTGCCTGCTCCCGCCCTGCTCTCTGCCCTGCTCCCTGCCTCCTGCCCTGCTGCCTGCCCCCTCCCTGCCCGGCCTCCTGCCTGCCCTGCTCCCTGCCATTTGTCTCCTGCCTCCCCACTTCCCTGCCTGCCCTGTTTCCTGCCCACACTATCCCTGTTTCCTGCCTGTCCTGCCTGTTTTTCTGCCTCCTGCCTGATCTTCTTGCCCTGACTGCCTCTTTCCCCTGCTCACCGCCCCCCCTGTCTCCATGTCCCGTGCCTCCAGTTTGCTTCTCCTGCCTGCCCTGACACCCTGCTCCCTTCCTGTCCTGCTCCCCGCCTCCTCTGCATCATACCTGGCCTGCTCCCTCCCTGTTTCCTTATCCTGCTGCCTGCCTCCCCTGGCTGCCTCTCCTACCTCACTACTCTGCCTCCCTGCCTCCTTCCCCTGCTCCCTGTCTGCCCTGCCTCTCTTTCCCGCCCCGATCCCTGCCTTCCCTGCCTGTCCTACTTCCCCTGCCTCTCCTGCTTCTCCTCCCTGCCCTGTCTGCCCTACTTGTCTTACTTCCCCTTCCTCTTCTCCTTCCCTTGTTTCCCCTGCCTCTCCTCCTTGTCCGGCTTCCTGCCTCTTACCTACCCTGCCTCTTCTGCCTCCACTTCTCCTTGTCCTGCTTCTTCGCATCCTGCCTTCCTGTTTTCTGCCTTTCCTGTCTACTCTCCTCCCTACCCTAGTCCCTTGCCTCCTTTCCTCTCCACCTCTGTTTCCCCAGTTCCTCACTTTCCTGCCCCTTCCTCCCCTCCTGTTTTCCTTCTCCATCATCAGCTGCAATTCTTCCTGAAGGTGGGCATGAGAGCTGGAAAAATCAGCTCAGCAGCCCAGGATCAGGGCAAGCAGGGGAAAGAGTCCAAGTTGGAAGGGAAAGTCCAGATACAATTTGAAAGCAGGGGGGAGGTGAGAGGCACGGAGTGGAAAGTGTTAAAACTAGGAGTTAAGGAACCAAGCAAGGACTCCAGCCAAGTGCCAACAGATAGGAGCTTGCTGAACAGAAGTAGACACCAGTTGTGCTCCTCAGCAAATCGGCACATATTTTGACCAGGTATATTCAACCCAAAGAGGAATGAGGAATGAGGAAATGTGCAGGGTCAGTCAAATATTTTGTTTTTCCAGTGACAAGCAGTGATGAATAATGGGTGTAGGGAAAAAGTGAGGCGAATTGTGCCTACTGTGTGGATCCTTTGCTGCAGGAAGTCAAGAATTAAGTTGTGATCTCTGCAAGCAGTGAGGGTGTTCAGTGACAACTTCATACAGATAATAAACAGAGAGCAAATAACATCTGGAGAAACGCCATGTGTGCTACTGCCCTGTACTTAATTCTGTTTGCAATAGTTTAATCCTGGGAGCATGGGGAAGGTCATAGGAAAGAAGGAGCTTTCCCTTTTCAAAATTCTGATTCCTAAATCTAAACAAGCTCCAGGAATAATGAAGTAAAGGATCAGATAGTTACTCACTGTCCATCACAAAACCTTGATTGGATCATATTTGAAAGGGAAAATTAAATTACAGAAAGGCTGCTTTCGTGTGCTTTCTGAGTAATAAAATGGTAACACGGATTTTCTCCCATACTAAAAGTTAATGCAATGCCAACATTTAAATGACATATTATTTAACAGTATTATTACATGCCTTGCATAACAAAAGTGTTATAATGATCAGTCAGATAACCTTATAGAGCTTTCCCTGGTTTGCAGTCTGTATTCCAGCTCGAAGGTTATAGGGGCCGCTTGTGTTGTTAACATAATCAGGTCTGATGTGTATCTGCTATAAAATGCTGCTGATCATTTTAAGAATTCTGTTGATTCACCCAACTGAAAACTATTATTTCCTAAAAATCAGGCTTTTGTAAGGCATATACAAACCAATTAAAGATATTACAGCCTTTTCCAAAAACCTACTTACTCATTTACATCATCATTTATAACTTATAATCTGCTGCAGAGACCAGATACTCATACTGAGTAGCACTGAATGCTTCTGAGTAGTAGTGTAAGCTGCGTAATTGAGCTGAGCAAAGAAGAAACTGTAGAATCCACCCATCACACTGGGTCATAATTCCTTAAGCTCTATGTGCTTTGAACACAGAGGTGGCTTCACTGGAACATGTAACAACAGCCTCCTCATGTTCCAGAAGAGGACCATGTCAGTTAAAATACAAATGAGCAATGTCATAAAATGCTGGAGAAAATTTCCTTCAAACTAAGACTGTAAATAAATGCAATTCTTGATTTAAATGTGCAGTTACTGAAACAATTGTGCTACTGTTTGGCAAGTGAATATTATTTTCTCCCACAGCCCATTGCTGTGGTGTCTGGTACATACACAAACAAGATAAGACAATTGGGTCCTACTAGTTAAAAAAAACCCAAAGCAACAACATCAGTCTTTTATGGAGTCGGAGATTCGGTGAGCAGAATTCACATAGTTTTTAGCAGATGAGTTGTGAGCCCTTTCCCTCTTGAGTGCTCTGAGGATTTAGTTTGAGAATTTCCAAACAGGTTTGGGGGTTTGATTTTTTTTTTTCCTTCAATAAGATTTATAGAAATAAATTCCTTAAGTCTGATATGTTCTTTCACTGAGAAAACAAACCCACAAGGTATCATCAAATTATATTAAACTTTATTTCTACAGTTTTGGGAGAAGCATCTGTGTGAGGCCTTTGTGTTTGTGCTCAGACTTCAATAGGAAGGAGAGAAAAAAACAGGAGAATTTCACAGATTCCTGGGTGCAGAAATCTCTCCCTTTCTCATTTCTAATCTTCCTCCCTTCTCCCCTCCCTCCTTTCTTTCCTTCCTTCCTTCTCTGCCTCCCTCCTTCCCCCTGCATTCATTTCCTCCTTCCTTCCCTTCTGCCCCTGACTTTCTCTCTTTGCCTTCCTCCCCCACTGCCACTCCACAGGATGCCATGGATGCCTTTCTCTGACATCATGTATAAAGCAGAAAGAAGTTGGTCACTAATAGGGCACTAATACAATACCATTGCATTTTACATTTTTAAAAGGAACTTAATCTTTAAAATGGGGAGCAAATTATGTGAATGTTATTTTATTAAGAATATAGGACTAAATGCCATGATAATACGTTTTGTTTCTTCTGCATCTCTTCGTGCAGATGTTGTAACACAACTTCTACAGTGCATTTCGGGATTTTAAGGCACAATGTTATTATCCTGTGCTATCAGATTTCTACATACAGCTTAACTATAAGGCTTGGGGGATCAGAATTAATGTTTTGCATGCTGCTGATAATTTCTGCTGCAAGAAGCTTCTATATTATTGGAGAATTTTTTGCATAGTGACACTTGGAGTAGTGTGATGACTGACATGGAAGTTCTTTGAAGCCTGCTGTTTCTTTAACATGCCACAGGTCAGGCCTCATGTTCCTATAGGGCTTGCAGTGGCTAATGAATACTTCAAACTTTAAAACCGTGATCTGGATTAAAATTGAAGCAATGTCATTAAGTTCACAGATGTTTTGTTAAACCTTTTTCTTTACAAGTTAAGTTACTCTCCTTGGCATGTGGTCCTGTTTCTTAATATCCAGGTAGGCAGTTCATTTTGTACATTTCATGTTAAAAGATAATGAGGCTCTTTTTACATCTATAAGAAAACCTTTTCAGTCTCTCCTCATGCCTGCTAGCTTGTAGCAACAACAGGACAATTGCAGGTCGGTGTTACAGACATTCCTGTCCTACATACTGTGCAGAGCTGCAAAGACCAGTTGAATTGCTGCTGTGATTTGTGCTGTGCCACAGCTAAATTACCACCACTGGACAGCTAGATATGGCCTGAGGGTAGACTAACTGGCTCAAGCTAACAAGAAGACTATTATATGAGGGTAGTAGGAATGTACAATGTATTGTTTTTAGTGAACTGAAAAAAATGTTATTCTTTGTGCCTGAGCAAGGAGATCACATCCTGGGAAAGTGTGAGAAACCATCAAATTCCCCACACAACTGTTGCAGTCACAAACATTCGCTATTTTCATATTGATGAGATGTAACAGCTCCCTAGTGAAGGTTTACAGGAGCACCAGGACTTGAGGGAGACAAACTTGTGATATTCAACTTGTTTAGATTCACTGGGAGAATATAGTACCTTAGAGAAGGGCTATAGGGAAGCAGGAGATATTCATGATAGTCAAGACTGGTAAGGCCTGGGGTGCTGTGTTCAGGTATGGGCTCCTCAGTACAAAAGAGGCATGGACTTATGGAGAAAGTCCAGGAAAAGGTCATAGAGATGGGTAAGAAACTGGAGCATCCCACAAAGGCTGAGAGCTGGGTCTATTCTGCCTGAAGAAAAGCAGGCTGAGGGGGATCTTATCAATATGTACAAATACCTGAAGGGATGATACAAAGAGGATGGAGCCAGGCTGTTTTCTGTGGTGCCCAGTGACAGGACCAGAGTCGAAGAGCACAAACTGAAACGAGGGAAGCTCCCCCTGAACATCAGGAAACACTTTTTCACTGTGAGGGTGACGAAGCCCTAATTTGGGTTTCCCAGAGAGACTGTGTAATGTCCCTATTGGAGACAAGCTACTCACAAGATGTCTGCACATAGTCCTGGGAAACCAGCTCTAGGAGGCCCTGCTTGAGTGGGAGGTTGGACTAGATGCTCTCCAGAAGTCCTTTCCAATCTCAGCCATTCTGTTATTCGATAATAATCGATGTGAGGCTATTTGACTTGGGGTATGAAAAAGACTTGTGGGAACCCCCATAGAGGGATAGTTCTTTACAAAAAACATAAAGAAATAATACACTTTTGGGGTCCTGATTGCACTCTTGAAGCCTAGGGGAATTACACTTGGGACACTGGGAACATTGCAGTCTACCTCTCGGTTTTCTTGTGTTCAACATGGCTTGACATCTTTCTTAGGATGCAGAGCATTATGCACAAGGGGGAAAGATTGCCCAGGTGTTAACCTGTAAGCTTGTGGCTCAGGAGACATATGGTCTGTTCCCAACTGTGTGAAATGTGTCCTTCATAATCTCAGGCAAATCACTCAAGGCTGTACTTCTTCGCACTGCCTGTGAAGGATGCCAGGAAGCTGCAGCCAAGGACAAGAGTCAGTTTTTCTCATCACTCTTTTGACAGTAGCTCATGAAGCTGGGTATGTCCCTTTCTATGTTTGACCACTCCATTTCCAGTGTGGGTTCCTACCAAGGTACCCCAAAGCCACAAAATGCCATAAGAACCATTCCTATAAATACATCTGCAAGTTCATCCTACCCTGCCCTACTAAGCATAACATAGCTCAAAGATGTTTTCCACAGTTAACATCAAAATATTTTTTAAAAAGAAATTTAATGAGATGACACCCACACTCTGAGATGAAATCATTCTAGATTACCATTTTCCCTCCCTCCCTGCCCACTCCTTTCTTTTCTGGCACGATTTTGGCAGCTAATATCTGTATGAATGCTAGGAGTTTAGGTATTATATAATGATACAAATCATAACAGTGATGCGTACCAATACCAGGTGAGGATCAAACCCTAGTGCCTTCCCATTTAAAAGCAGTGGATGAAATTTCACATGGCATGTAGCTTTAGATCGAATGGAAAATACTCGGTAGATAGAAGCAACCAAAATCTTTCTGGAACTGAAGTTGATGGGGAAGGGCCAAATGGACATGAGAACAGTGCTTCAAGAGGCAAATGGTGCTGTAGGGACAGCTAAGTGGGCAGGAACAAAATGATTCAGACAAGCGTCATCATTACTGAGAGCAGGTTTTGGTCAATTTTCCAGGGGATGCAGAGCAAATAGGGGTTGAATGCTAATCCAGAAGCTGTCACTGAAGAGAGAGCAGTAAAGCGTGTTAAGATCTTCAGCACTGGAAAGTGCTGTACATGCTTCTTAAGATATTATTTTAATTTTATTTGTTTAGTAAGCATTATTATATATTTTATTATTAACTAAATTTTATTTTTGAGGGTCAGGCAAAAATAGAAGCTGTTAGTCTGAAGATTTTCAGTATTTTACACATCCTAAAGCTACTCTCTGTCCCTTCTCATTCTCTTCTTAGGAGTGCCATGAATAAACCAAACTGGTAGATGACACCACAATTTCAGTGAAAATATCCTTTTTCTTTTTTTATTAATATGTTGGGGTTTTTTTTCAAACCTTCATATTTTTCCTTGTTTAAAGCTGCATTTTCCTTTAGACATCTGATTTATTGCAAGTGGCTGTGAAAAGACGTTAGGAGAGCAAATAGTCCTTTGGGAACAAAGAGTCACAACGCAGAAAAACAGCTGTTGAGACTAACAAAGAGTCCAGTGTGCCAACATGCTGCAACAAATATTCAAGATAAGGGAAAAAGGCCAACATCTTCACTGGAAAAAAAAAACAAACAACATCAAAGTAGAACAAAGATGTAAATATCTGAAAAATGGGCAGATGGAACCCCAAGAGAAAGTGAAATTGCCATGTGTGGGAGGGGGTGAAAATGGAGAAGGTGCTTCTGTTGTACCTTTGGGAATCAGGATAAATCAGTATCATTTGAGAAAGCACAATGACAAACTGGGTAGCTATGTTGTCAAGGTAAGCAGTGGCAGAACCATATTATCTGCTGATGTAAATCAGATTCTTTGAAGTCAGTGGATTGCTAACCCCATGATCTGGGTTATGATTCAGATAGTGTCAACACTGCTCTCCTGTAAGCTGTAACCCATAGCTATAGCTCAGCTCACTATCAGAAAACTCTGAAACGTATTTAAAAAGATTTGGTTTTTGTTAGACTGATATTGGTAAATTGCTTTTTGACAGCAATGTCTGACACAAAAGGACTGTATCTCCCTCACCTTGGGATCATCCTGGGCATAAAGGGTGGTAATCCACTTAAATAAGTTTTAAAAAAGTAGGAAACTTTAATGAAAATAAATAGCATAACTTGTGACATTAAATGCTTTGGGATCCTATAATAAAACCTGAAGGGACAGATTTTATCTCCTTGGTCTAATCCCATTTTCTCCTAGAGCAGGCTGCAACTGACCTATTAAGAATTTGCCTTATTTCCAATGAAGCATCTTAGTGGAGGTGGGAGTCAGAAAAGGAGCAGTAGAAGAGACAGTTTAACTTCCATAAACTCTTAGAAAAGGAAGCTGGTGGGTCACAGCCACCTGCCACTTGTCCCTGGACCTGGTACAAGTGCTCCAGAGGAAGGTCACAGAAATGGTCAGAGAGCTGGAACACCTTTCCTGTGAGGAAAGCCTGAGAGAGTTGGATTTTTCAGTCTGCAGAACAGAAGTCTCCAGGGGACCTTATTGCAACATTTCAGTACTTAAAGGGGGCTTAAAAAGTAAGATTAGGACAGACTTTTTACTGTAGTAATGGCACAAGGGCTAATGGTTTTAAACTGAAAAAGGATAGATTTAAATTGCATACAAAGAAGAAGTTTGTTATGATGGGGTGGTGAGACACTGGAATAGTCTGCCCAGAGAACTTGTTGGTGCTCCATCATTGGAAGTGTCCAAGGCAAGGTTGTATGGGGCTTTAAGAAATCTGATCCAGTGAAAGACGTCCCTGCCCACAGGGAAAGGAGGTTGGACCAAATGATCTTTAAACATCCATTCCAACCCAAACCATCCTGTGATTCAATGTTTTTTGGGATTCTACGTCACAGGAGCTCCAAAGCTGTTCCAATATATAGTGGGCCCTGAGCTGGAGTCCATGCAGACCCCAGACAAGCTCCTTGCTTCCAGTCTTCTCCTGAGCACCTCTGAGCACAGTCTCCTTACTCTACTACCTGCTGTTAAATCTAGGGAGGCAACCAATCCTTACACTACACTGCCCCATTGACAGTGTCACACTTCAATACACCTAGCTCCCCTAGCTAGCCCATAGAGGCAATTGTAACTAAAAACATGATTTATGCAAGAAAATGCTAATGCCACTGTTAAGTTGAGATCTTAAGCATAAAATATTGTCCTGGTTTCCCAATGGCTTACATCAATTCTGCATCAGTGGATTTCAGTTGATATCATTAGAGTTACCCTAATATGGTCTAGTAAACGTAAGAGCAAAGAAGTAACAGTTACTTAACATTTATATCTGAAATCCACCTCTAACACAACTCTAATTTCTTTGAGAAATTAATAACCTGGAACCATAGATTACTCCTCAAAACTTCAGGACTTGTTTTTCTGTAGTGCCTTCCTTTTCCTAGGTTTTCCTAGGCTGATCAGTTACCAGATACTCTGCCCTGCAGGTAGCTTTTCTCATCTCCAGCTCCACAGTGAATACAGAAGGAGGCTGCTTAACAAACTCTCCTTTGTATCACCTACAGACAAGTCTAATGCACATGAAAAGCTTATCTTTTGTCACAAATGTCCTTTAAGCAAATATGCAGAAACTCTCTGTATTCAGATTTTGGGATCTCATCCTGGGGTTGCAACTGTGCCATCTAAAATGTAGCTTTTAGCAATGCATGAAATGAAGCTCACAAAACAAGGAACTTGGGCATCCCTTGTGCTGATTAACATCCAGGTCCTGCAATGTGACTTTGAGCAGCCCCTGGACAAAGGAATGCTCTGGCTGCTGCTCTCCGCTTTGTTTAATCTGATAATGCTGAACCCAGAGAGTGGCTGAGTGAAATAGTTGTTTTGCTATAAATAGTTCATAACTTTCCAAACAGATTTCTTTTAATGCAGTATGTTGTTCACTAAGGGATTACCTTTTAATTTTTAAAACCATTTTTTCTTTTTCAGAAGTTAGAGAGAGAGATCAGTTAAGTGGTGGGGCTTTTTGATAGCTTGTCTGGTTTTGTGATGACTGAAAAATTGGATGGATCTTGATCTTTCCTCACACACACGTCTCTTTGGAGCAGACCTTGATCTTACCTCACACAAGTGTAACTACACAGACATCAATGACAGCCTCTTGCTAATTATGTCACTGAAATGTGAGAGATACACTGTACCATTTTGCTCACACATAACAGCTTAAGCAGCTTTTCTTCTAGCACTTGTAAAAACAAGTTCTAGGAAAGGTACAGGAATAAAAATTAAATTCAGAACTAGGTATTCAGGAAAGCTACAAGATCCTGAAGACTTTTATTTCTGCTTTTGTCATCCTGGCTTTGATGCTATGGGATACTGGAACTCCCACACTTCAGTAAGACGACTTTGGAAAGTGTATTGTAATCGTAAATTGATGCAGCTTAGTATCAATTGACAATTGATCAGATTGCCTTTCTGAAAGCTTGAACATATACATTCAAGATGCCAGTGACTGCCTTATCTTAAATTCACCCATTCTGAAATAATTTGACTGGTATCCTCTTACATATGAAGCACACAAAGTAATTTTATTGCTATAGAAATTTCAGAAATTCATTCCTGTAAGCTTTACATACGTATTTAATCTTTCTTTTATATATTTGCTTTTTCTTTTAGTTAGTGATGGAATAAACAGCACTTTCCTTTGGATGGATTACACTACATGTGAACTGCCTGTTACTGCAAGAATAAGAAAAGCCATTTGCTTTCATTTGTTAAATATCAGCTTGACAGCAAAAAGCTTCTGAATGGTTCCCACTCACAGCAGACCATCAATTGAATGGGATCAGCACTTCTCCTACTGAAATATCTGAAGTTAAGGATTTGGAAAAGAGGTTTTTGCAGAGATGACCCATTTACAGGCTGGACTTAGTCCAGAGACTATAGAGAAAGCCCGCCTGGAACTGAATGAAAACCCAGACATTTTGCATCAGGATATCCAGCAAGTCAGGGACATGATCATCACAAGGCCTGACATTGGGTTTTTACGTACAGATGATGCCTTCATCTTGAGATTTCTCCGAGCCAGAAAGTTTCACCAAACTGAGGCCTTCAGACTGCTGGCTCAGTACTTCCAGTACCGCCAGTTAAATCTGGATATGTTCAAAAACTTCAAAGCTGATGATCCAGGAATCAAACGGGCTCTGACAGATGGGTTCCCAGGAGTACTGGAAAATCGTGACCACTGTGGCAGGAAGATTCTTCTGCTTTTTGCAGCCAACTGGGATCAGAGTAGGTAAATGTAGATAGTGTCCTTATTTTTTTACATACACTCGCACTCAACTTGTAATGGAATATTTGTGGCCATACTTGAAGCAGCAAGGCCATTTTCATTGAAACATTTTGTAACAATGAGTCCATTTCACTTAAACTTTCTTGTGATCTCATCACCTCTCATTCTTCAGCCATAACACCATTGATACGCCATATAAAGGATGTATCAGAGTGTCAGATAAGTAGCTCATGTTTTTTTTTTTTTCCATAAACATTTCCCAGTTTTAACCAGATAGTGTTTGCTATAAATACATTAATGCTTATTGTGTGATTACTTCAGCAATATCACAGACTAGCCAAAGAGGTTGACAGAAAGCAAACGTCTCAAAACATATGGGAGTTCTCAGATCTTCTGGTGCAGAAGGAACTGACCATACTTATTCTGTCTCCAGACTTTTTAACAGATAATCTGTTTTTTTTTTATTTGTTTATTTGTTTGTTTGTGTTTGTTTTTTTTAACCATTTCAGGAGTTACAATCTGTGTTATGAGATTTGCACAAACTGCATTGTAATTTCTACACATTCTGGTCACTGTATATGTTATGTATATAGTCTGATAAATGGGAGGTTCATGCAAAGTGTATTTTCTGTTCAGGTCATTTCTTCACAGAATGGTATGAACAAAGATATCTCCCAGCCATTATTATAAAATGATGTCCTTAAATGTTAATGTGATTAGTCAGCTTTCACTACCTATTTGAAATAATACAGAGAAAAGGGCCTAGTCCAGGAATATCATGTTCACATTGTCCTTTTCACCAGAAGCCATTCTATTCCATTTTCCCTGTCTTCATGGTGAGAGGGAGAAATGGAATCAGCTGTAGGATTGCCATGTGTTCTGCTGATTTTTGACAAAAATCAGATCAGAAAACAAAATTCAGATTCAGGTTCTCAGTATTACAAATTCTGTTGAGTTCCAGATAGGGTTTTGTCTCGTCATGGTTTAAAGTTGTCCAACAAAGTGTCTCATATTTAGGAGTCAATTGATTAGAACTTTGAATTTATATTATGGAAATTATTACAGAACAATATACAATATATGCAATTTTTCATATTAGTTGTTTTCTGGGAGAACATTTCATTTCTGTGTGAAAACAGAGTACAGAATTTTTTTCTGATATTCATTTTCATGTACAGATCTGGTAAAGAAATATAGAAAGTTACAGAAATGTAACTTTGCATATAAGAAAGTATTTGGTGAAACCTAGAACTGAAGACAGTGATAAAAGTCTTATTGACTACAAAGGGGCTAGCAGTTTATCTCCTGTCTTTCTGAATTGTGGGCTTGCTTTTCTTCCAACCATAAACCCCTTCCTTTAGCAACTGGCCTGTAAAGAAAGATGAATGAACAGGTATCTTGAATGAATAGAAAGTATCAGCTTTAGATGACAGAAGCTCTGTGGCTCTGCTAGTTGCATTAGAGGATTTAGGTATTATATAGAGCCAGCTTTGGGTTTCTGATCCCTCAACAAAATGAGTCCTTGTGATTAACCTCGAACACTGTCTTGGTCGTTGGAAGCTGAGAGTGCTGCTGTCTAAGGCTCCTGCAATGAGATTTTGACAGAATATTGATTCCTGTAAGATTTTGGCTCAAAATTTCTGCAATGCTTTAATATGCATCCATGTATATGTGTGTATGGGGGTTCAAAAACTAAGGTGATCCTGCCTGCAACATACCTCATTTCTGAAAATGTAATTTTTACCTTCAAAAAAGGTAGGCTGAGGAAAATAGGATAGGATATACTTTCCTAAGGCTCCTCAGTGAAATTAAAATCCACTTGCAAATTTTACCTCTGTTGAGCCACTGAAGTTTGACTCCTCTATGGATTCATTTCTGTGGGCTTTTGTAGCACTTCAAATGCAACAGGGATTTGGGACAGGATTTGGACTGTAAGCGAATAGAGGGATGACCTTTTCCTTTTCTACTGTTTAAGAGCATTAAGAAGAGAAAAAGCTTTCAAGAAACAAAAAATGATGAGTGCAACATCTTGTTAATCAGCTGGGAAGCCGTTTATTGGCCAGAGGAAATATATATTCATATGCCTTTCACAAAACCCCTCAAACAAATAGGCATTGTGTATATCTTGCATACATGTGTCTCAGGCAACCTTTCTATACATGTGACTTCAGTGACAGCAAGATGTGCACAAACTTGTATTTCAGTTGAATGCTAATGCCATTCATATGAGGCTGTGATGGTGACATGCACATCATCATGTAAGAGTGACATGCACACCACCATGTAGGAGCTCAGCCTTCAGCACGCCTTTCCTAACTTTAATCTCATTTTCAGGTAGCCATGCCTTCTCTTTCTGTATGATTAAATCATAATTTATAAAAAATTAATAATTCACAAAGGATTTCTTAAAATCAGCATGGCTGTAATCCATAAAGTAATTTTCAGTCCAGACATCATTTATACTCCTGGGAGTAACTGACAGTTCAAGGAGGCAGAAGCAGCCTCAAAACTTTTTGGTCTTACAAATGTGTTGATTTTTAAAAGGAAAGGTCATTATTTCTGCAGTGTGACTGCTTGGACAAATTGAATCAAAAATACTTTTTAAGGGATTCCCTGTATCAAAGTTAAAACTTCTATGTGCGCTTTTAGAAACACTTGTGATTTTATCTTCAAGAATGCAATTTGATAGCTCTCTAGAAAACTAGGTTTCAGATTCCAGTCTCAATGTTTTCAGCTTCAGCTTCCAGCTGCTGGATTCTGTTAGTTTAAAGGGAGCATAAAAATGACAGCTTCCCATGTTTGTACTTTTGTGTCCTGACCCTACCACTGTAGGGTAGGTTACTGTTAGACAGCAACAAGATAATATATTAGCTACTCTACAGCAGTGATCCTTGTGTGACTTGGGTTCAAACAAAAACAGGGGAAGCTCAGGTTAGATACAAGGAAGAAGTTCTTTACTATGAGGATGGTGAGGCACTGGAGCAAGTTGCCAAAAGATGTGGTAAATGTTCCATCCCTGGCAGTGTTCAAGTCCAGGTTGGACAGAGCCTTGGGTGACATGGTCTAGTGTGAGGTGTCCCTGCCCATGGCAGGGGGCTTGGAACTAGATGATCTTAAGGTTCTTTACAACCTTAACCATTTTATGATTCTATAACCAGGGTGAATGAAAAAACACCTACCCCCCATTTTTCTTGGGGAAAAAACAACCTTTTGCTGTCTACAAGGTAAAGAACATACTTGTGGACAGCCAGCAGAGCAAAGATAATGTTCTGCAAAGTATTGCACTGGCTTAATGTCTTGCAATACATTTCTGCTTACAAATCTTATATAGATTGGGCTTCTTTACTCTCAGAATTAGGAAGATTTTCCAGCTTGCTAAAATTTTTTTGTCATTCTTTTCTGGATCTTTCCTATCATGTTAAGATTGTTGCTAATGTACAGATGGATGAACTGAATATGAACTTTCATTAATAAACCATCATGTGGTAACACCATCTTTTCTGATCAGTAGCTCCCTCTTTTTAGATATAAGATTGTCACTGTTTTCTTAGCTACTCTATTGCATTTTGAGCTCATATTCAGCTCATATCTGCTTCCAAGTCACTGTTGCCTAAAATACAAACACCACTGGTAAATGTGTCATACATTCCCATCCATAATGTGGGCATAGTCTAGCATGTGATTCACAATCTTCTGCAGTGCTAAACCTGTCCTCCTCATAAATTATCATTGCATGGGTTTTGTGACAGCTGCAAAGTTCACTGGCAAGACTTTTGTTTTTATCTCCACATCGTTGAAAAATATAATGATTATTGTTTTGATCAAAACCTCCTTGATGACTAGGAAAAAAAAGGAATTATAATTCTTATTGCTAATCACTAGCTGAGATCTATTCATGGCGCCAGGGTTTCATTCATTTAGCATGTGCTGCATTGATTTGATTTTCTATTTTTTAGACATATTTTTTAGAGATAGTGTTATCACTTTCCATCTAGGTCCTGCATAGTATATTTTGGAACTCTTCATTAATGTTAATCACATATGGTACAGAACAGAAAACTTCAGAGGTATTGAACAAGTTAAATGAGGAGATGGATGAAAAAGGATCAGATTGTTTCCACACTGAGGGAGAAGAAAAAAGCTGAGCTATATTACTGTATTGGGCCATCCATCCAGGGGATGGTCATCATTCACTTCTTTGATCAGAGCTCAAGGTGTGAACTCACCCCAAACCCACAAAGTCTTCACATGTATCACTGCTTAGAGAGCACCTTATTTTTAAATGGTAATTGTGGAGTAATACAGGTAGATAAGGATGTCAAAATGATCTTGTCAAGAACTTTTTTAATTAAATAATTTGTATAATAAAAAAATCCTAGTTTGTAAAACAAATACATCTGTGCATACAAATGTACGGTTTTGATGAGCCCTGGATTTCTCATAAAAGCAAATGTGCCATTGCTGCATTGCACATACTTTTTCTCCCAGTTTTTCATTCCATCAGTCTCACCAAACCTAAGCTTTCACTCCTCTGATGCACCTCCAGCAAAACTGAAACTTTTAGAGAAGTCTGATAAGAGGGCCTTTTTGACTGTTGGATTGAGGAGTCTTCACTACCACAGCTGTTCCTAGGTCTGCGATTGCCTTTCAATACATCCTGCTTGTACACTGGGGAAATGGGGATTTGGGTGAACAAGTAACTCAGCAGAAGGTGTTCATTAATCTTCCAAGTAAAGGTATTTCCTTCAAGGTTGTTCAACCAGAGTAAAATTTATTTCTATGCAGAGAGACAGCAGAAGGGCTACCTCCAATCATGATCATCTGTGAATAGGGTACGGGGGCAGGGGGGCAGACAGTTGCCATAGTCATTTGCAGTAAAATGGTAGGTAATTTCTGTCTTAATGTTTGCACTGTTGTGTCTTAGAAGCTGTCACATAGCTCCAAAAATTCTGTAAGTCAGTGAGATGGAAAAAACTGCTGCTCTGTATACAAAATATATTCCC